AAGGGAATGCTCCAAACTCCCGAGCGGCATCCAATATAGCACTCCAAACACACGAACTGGAACCATACGAATCACTGCTAGCAGATGAATAGGAAAAGCATCCAAGCGGCTTACACTCCTAGCAATCAGTCCTTAGCAGCATACAGTAAATCCCCCCCCAAAGACGAGACAAGGCTCCGTGTTGAGGGTCAAGCAGTGGTCTGTTTAATGTGGGCTACCTGCCCAGTATTTATGCAGGTCTCCCACCTGGTGGACACTCCCCTAGGGGACCACATGGGAGATTGTGACAAGGGACAGACAAGTAGACAAATAGGACACACAGTCACAGTATTTCCCACAATGCATCCTGGCCTCCTCCCCTCTGCCCTGGGAGATAATTGGGAAGTAACTCAATTATCTCCCAAGACAAAGGCAAAACTCCATTACACACGTGGGGACACAAAACCAGTATTATACTTTAAAATACATAAAGTAACATTTATTCCACAAAACACAGACATGTAACATATCCCCAGATAGCTCAGGTCTGAGTGCACATTATTAGGTGAATGGCACTCAGACCACACGAATACAGTTTAATCGCCATGGAGCTAAAGTCTTTACACAGTCAGTTTCATACGAATGGGCTCCATGGGATTCCTATCTGGGGTATAACATTTTCTAACAAAACTACCGAACACCGGGCCGTTCGTGCACTTCCACCGAACAAGAAGGGAGGTCGGCGGCTTCAGCGGTGTTCGCACAAAACTGTGTCCGATTTTAGTTCCATGAAAATAGAGGCGAACACCGCTGTGCATTCGTATGGTTAAAATGGCCGCGACCTCGTGTTCGGGATACGAATGGCGGCCACCCAGCATTCATCAATTAAGCTGCGGTTAACCGCAGCTTCAGGGAGGTTAATTGCCGGCACACTCCAGCTCCCAGGTGGTCCAGTCATTCGTACGGTTGTTCGGTAGATTGAATCTACCGAACCCCAGGCAGAAAAGCACGAATACAGCTTTTCTGCAGGCAAAATAAAGTCTTTTAAAAGGGGGCCATAGTCCAAGGCAGCAGGCGAGCAACCAGGCTTCTCCAATGCAATGTGGCGAGATTGGTCTCGTCACAGTCCCCATATCTGTCTGTCATTTAAGTTTCCCATTTGGTCCCTTAGGGGAGTGTCCACCAAGTGGGAGACCTGCATAAATACGGGCAGGTAGCCCACAGTAAAGCCAGATCCTGTTTGACCCTCAATGCGGAGCTTCTGTCTCGTTATTGGGGGGGGGATTTCTTCTTCGCGTTTAGAGACTGCTGGATTGAAACGAAAACCGCTTGGTGGATATTGTTCGGCGGCTAGCAGCAGTTCGTGTATTGCCATTCGGGAGTTTGGAGCCGTTCACAGATCCCGGTCGGGAGATTGCCGCTTCCCCTGCATTTGGTTCGTGCACTACAGGTTAGGCGAACGGAGTTACTGTTATTGCAGACGGGGAAGGTCTACTAAACGGCGGTTTTGCCTAAAGACACTGGAGGTGTCTTAACAATTGTATTTTCAATTATTTATATATTTTAAATAGAGGAACTCTTTGTTACGACACGTACCGTCGAGTAGATGAAGTCGCCGTTTAGTCAATAATCCCCTTCTCCAGAAATGCAGTTTAAATCTGCCAAATCTGCCAAACTCCCGAACGAAGTCCACGAACACGGCAACTCCCGATCAGCAAAACAGTCGAACGCCTTCCACAGCTAAAAATAACGAAAGCGCTGTCCCAGTAATAATTCCCCCCACAAACGAGACCAAGCTCCGTCTTGAGGGTCAAATGAAGATCTGTTTAATGGGGGCTACCTGCCCGGTATTTAGGCAGGTCTCCACAAGGTGGACACTCCCCGAGGGGACCTTGTGGAAGACTGTAAAACATATTGGACAGTAGCCAATCGCAGTGGCTTCAATAATAGCCCTTCCCATCTTGCCCATAATTCCGTCTTCTCTACCTCGGAGATAATTAGGAAGAAACCTAATTATCTCCCAAGGTAGAGACAATCGCCATTTTAACTTACAATAATAAAAATACATTAAAATACATAACTGCAGAAATACCGAATGCATATGGTTCGTGTAACGTATCCCCAGACAGCCTGGATCTGAGTGCATGTTTTCACGAATAGCGCTCAGATCTGATGTATCTAGTCGAATCGCCATGGAGTCAAAGTCTTTCACCAGTCCTTCGGTATACGAATGACTCCATGGGATGGCTGTCTGGGTGAAAGTCCATACGAATGAATAAAACTCCCGAACGACCGACGTTCGCATGCCTTGTCGAAATGGAAGGTAGGCAGCAGCTTCCAGCGGTGTTCGGTAGTTTAAGTGTCCATTTTTAGTTCCATACAGTTTGTACCGAACACCGCTATGCGTTCGTATGTCCCAAAATGGCCGCTGCCTTGTGGTCGACATGCGAACGACGACCACCTGTGCGAATGGAATGGAGAGGTGTCTGCGGTTAACCACAACGTTCTAATTGGGGCCAAGAGGTTAACCAGCAGCACACTCCTCTCCTGGGTGGTCGTTCGTTCGGTAGTTTCAATCGGTAGTTTGCAAATTACACGAACGGGGGTATATGAACAGGCAATTCAGCGAACAAAGGGAAATAGACGAACCAACAATACAGATGAATCTGTCACACTCTTAACTATATATTTTTATTGCTAAGATATCTGTACCGTTAGCCCTGCTAAATTCTATGCTTTAAGACGTGACAGCGGTTACAGTCGTGTATCAAGTAGTGTGTTGCCTGGAGTAGAATATAAGCAGTGGCTGCGTAAAGCAATTGTCTCAAGCTTTGGCCAAGCAGTTAGTCTAACACTCCCCTCCTGTGTCAGGGTTATGTGTTAACTCTGGTTGGTTAGATAAATTAACTGTCTGTCATAGTGACAGTGACTCCCAGAATGCAGTACAGAGGTGGTCAAATGTCTCCAGAAAAGCAGGGTTGGGCTGTAGAGGTCTCCCATACACTATAGACACCACCAGTTAAGTAAGCTGGAACTGAGAATGTCACACAGTCGTGTGCCGGTAACTTAGGTCTCAACTTAATATTTTTGAAAAAACGTAAAAAAAAAAAGTGCAATGTTTTGCTAAAATTGAAATATTTTTCAAAACCTAAAAGCAGAGAGGCTTGCATACTCGCCTCTTACTCAGAGACTCTGGGATACTATCAGACTGTCTAAATGTTTTGTTATAATCTGTTTTAGGCTGTGGAGTTATTTGGGCAATTTTCAGTATTGCTGCTCACACTTGGACACTAGGGATAACTGGATGTAAATAAACCTGTTTGTGGCGAAACTGACCTCGCAACTGGGCATTGGAGAAGACTGCCAGCCTCCTGCCATGTGACTATGGCCCCTGGGATGTATTGCCCTTTAAAGACATGGTTTGGGCATAAGGGATTTGTGTTGTGCTGCTGCTGGCCCTTTAAGAACCATCTGGGGACATACTGTGGAGTTACTGGGTGGCCACCATTTCCTGTATCAGAGGCACATGGTGAGAACAATGGATGAAGCACAGTGAGAACAATGGATGGCGGCCATTTTAACTCACAGACACTGTTTGGACTTTTCAACACGGTGACATCTCGCCAGTATTTGGTGCACAGAGACATCGTGCAGTGGTTTTGGACTATACAGCAGGGGACACATTATAAAGTGATTGTTTTTCATTTAGCCTGTATATGTTCTGCAGAATCTGCATTAAACTGTATTTTCCAAAGTACTGAACGGATCTGGGTGAATTTTGGATATGTGGTTCACCCAGATCCCCCGGTTCCAAGGATATACTCTTATGGGGTTATTGCATGTTTTGGGGTCCCTGTGATGTGTTTTATGATACTGTATTTCTCTGCCTGTGATAATTAGATTAACCATTGTGTTCAGTAATCATATCACAGGCAGAGAGGAGGATTTTGTGTGTGAGTGTCTTGTGTATTGTACAGATTGATTGGTTGTTCTGTAAAACCTTGTGGGCAGTACTAAGTTTGGGGATTGGGAATAAAAGAGGCTGTATGTGCCATGTAACGGACCGTTTTTGCACACAAGGGGTAAAAACCGTTTAGGCGATCGGCCCCCTTTCCAGAGATACAGGCAAAGCTACTGCAGAACACCAAACTCCCGAACTGGATACAAAATAGCACTCCAACTCCCGAACTGGAACCTCCCAAATAGCTGCTAGCAGACGAACAGGAAAAGCAGACGAACAGCTTACACTCCTGGCAATCAGTCTCTAACAGCATACAGCGAATCCCCCCAAGAACGAGACAAGGCTCCGTGTTGAGGGTCAAGCAGTGGTCTGAGGTGCTGGCACACCCAGCCTGGTTTTTATTACAGTGTTTCAAATACAGGACCACCCACAGGGAGGGATAAAACAACCAATCATATCACAGTTACATCCCACATATTCCCTCCCCTTATCCTGAGAGGAAACTCAATTATACAAACAGTTAAAACATACTTTCTACCCAACTTTCATAACTCCAAAACCATACATCACATTCACATAAAATTACATATTCTCAATCAATCCATTAAGGGGAACAACATATTCAAAAATGGCACAAATCAGACAAGGGGTTCAACAGTTAGTAAAAAGTCCTTTGTGACTAAATGAAGCATGGCTTTCTGGCCCAAACCAGTTTCAGAGTCTTCTATCCTGGAGATAAGTAATTCAATTATCTCCCAGGACAGACACAAGACTCCATTAAGCACATGGTTGCAAAAAGACACAAAGCACTTTAAAATACATAAAGTCACATTTATACATAAAACACAGACATTTCACATATCCCCAGATAGCTCAGGTCTGAGCGCACATTATTAAGTGAATGGCGCTCGGACCACACAAATACAGTTTAATCACCATGGAGCCAAAGTCTTTACAGTCAGTTTCATACGAATGGGCTCCATGGGATTCCCATCTGGGGTATAACACATTCAAACAAATCTACTGAAACTCAGGCAGAAAAGCACGACTGAAGCTTTTCTGCAGGTAAAAAATAAAGTCTTTTACAAGGGGGCCATAGTCCAAAGGCAGCAGGCGAGCAACCAGGCTTCTCCAATGCAATGTGGCGAGATTGGTCTCGTCACATCTCTCCCCTTTTCCAAACAGACTAACAGGGTATCTGACCTCCTGCCGGTCAGTGCCCTTGTTAGTCCAGCAGCCCACCCACAACAAATAATCAACAGCACAGCCCACCCACAATAAATGGTTACTACACCTGGGTAAAGGGGAAGCTTGTCCATGTCCAGGTGCCTCACCACGCTGTGCTGGGTACGGGTACGCTGACTTGGTGGGTTGCTGCGTGGGCAGAGACCAGCGGCACTCTGCCCTGTTGCCAGCGCTACTGGGAGGGTAGCCTGGTGGAAGCCTGGTTGTTGGAGGGGGAGACCGACTGTCTCCCCTTTAAATACACCGCTCTGCTGCTGCTGCTGGAGACTGACTGTCTCCCCTTTAAATACACCGCTCTGCTGCTGCTGCTGGAGACCGACTGTCTCCCCTTTAGATGCACAGTCCTGCTGCTGGGGACCGACCGTCTCCCCTTTGGTTACCCATCTCTGCTGCTGGAGGGGGAGACCGACTGTCTCCCCTTTGGCTAGACAGCCCTGTCGCTGGGGAGAGGGGGTAACAGGCTCCTCTCCCAATATAACACTCTGCCGCTGGGGAAAGGAGACTGAGCTCTCTATTCCCTGCCCATTAATGATCTGCCGCTGGGGGGAGGTGGTAGCAAGCTCCTCTCCCATACCTACTTTCATCCTCTGTGGAGGGAGACCGACTGTCTCCGCTCCCAATACAGTGTCCTGCTGCTGGGGAAAGGAGACTGGGCTCTCTATTCCCGGTAGGACACTCTGCCGCTGGGGAATGGGGACTGGGCTCCCTATTCCCTGCGTATCACACTGCCGCTGGGGAATGGAGACTGGGCTCCCAATTCCCTGCAATATCTCCCGCTGGGGAATGGAGACTGGGCTCCCAATTCCCTGCAATATCTCCCGCTGGGGAATGGAGCTCGGGCCCCCAATTCCCTGCAATATCTCCCGCTGGGGAATGGAGACTGGGCTCCCAATTCCCTGCAATTCATTCTGCTGCTGGGGGACAGGAGCAACTATCTCTGTCCCCTGTAACTCAGCCTGCCGCTGGGGAATGGAGCTCAGGCTCCCAATTCCCTGCAATATCTCCCGCTGGGGAATGGAGCTCGGGCTCCCAATTCCCT